CCCTCTGTTTTATTGTTCACAGTTTTTGATCTTTTTCTTAGATAAGTCCCTTGACTTATCTAAGACCTTATCTGGGCCCCCCAGTTTTTATCTACCACACATGGGTGTGGGACCAGCCCATTCCACATCTCCTTTTCTCTGCCCTTCCTACCTGTCTGGATGGATGTGATTTCTTCTTTAATTCCTTAGTTGTAGGATTTTTATTCAGCTCAACTTCTGATGATTCTGAGTGATTATTATTCTATAGTTTAGTTGTAATTTTGATGTGGTTGTGAAAGGATATGAGGTGTGTTTACCCACACCACCATCTTGAAGAATCACTCTCCAAGAAAGTCTATTTAAATATAATAATGCAATAGGTTGAAAGTAGAATAATGGAAAAATATATACCATGAAAACATTGATTAAAAGAAAGCCAGAATGGCTATATTACTACCAAATAAAGCAGACTTCAGAGCAAGAAAAGTACCAGGTGCATAGTGGGACATGACATATTGGTAAAAGAGTCAAGTCAACAAGAAGACATAGCATTCTTAAATTTGTATGTACCAGACAACATAGCAGGAAAATATTGAACCAAGAACTTAAAGAAAAAAATCGTTTGTCAGTTTCTTTAAAATCTAACCCAGCAATAATACTCCTTGGCATTTGTTCAGGGATGAACACGTACAATTTAGATCATTCCTATTCTTAATATGGTAAGGGCTGTCGAAGGGAAATGGGCAATGTGCTATAGGGGTTCAGGGAAGAAAACGTCCATCATGCCTGGGGAAATTTAGAAAAACTTTACAGAGTAGGGTAGATTTATAACAATCCTAGAGCGTGAGTAAGAGATAACCAGAAAATGACATGTTCAAAGGCACCCAGCTATAAACAGACACAGATTGTCCAAATGGTGAGAAATTATTATGGCTGAGGTTTAGGGATGGACTCATTGAGGTGAAGCTGGAGATCTGATTGAGACCAGACCATGAAGAGCTTCAAAAGTCATGTTTTAACTGAAGAATTTTTCCTGGTAATAATGCAGGAAAAAAAAATATTTTAGTACAGGTCCAACGGTCCTATTTGGTTTTTTGGAAGATAATGCTAGCAATGTGAACTCTCTTGTGCCAGTTTTTACCATTTTCACTTCTCATAATGTGGTTAGAGTTTTAGATCAATTACTATCAATAAAGATGCTTTCAATACCCGAATGCTGTTGCCAGGGGACTGATTACAGTTTGGCATGCATTTGTTGAGTTCATACTGAGTGCTGAGTGAGAAGGTGCTATAGCCTCTTCTGTAATATTACTCTTCAGCCAAGATGTGGGTGCCCACAGGATACAAGACACCATGCTGGGCATCATAGCATCCACACAGCATCTCTGCCAAACAGGCAGAGAGCCTGCTTCCTGGTTACTTGTTGGTTGAAGGCTTGCGGACAACTGTGGATATTTATTCAGGTCCCATAATACACTTGGCAGGAGGAACAACCTTAACTGTGAGATCCAAGATTTTTTATTTAGTTTCCAGATCTTTTCTTCTACTGTCTATGTTCAGACTTAGTCCAGGCCAGATTCTGCAAGGAATGTGTCACTATAGCCAAAGGAAGGTACATAGCAAGCAGGTCACTTAGAACAAAGCCAGGACTCTCAAAAAAACAACAAGGCATTTCATGAAATCAAAATACAAAAATTAAATAAACCATCCTAGAAAGAACTGAGCTTACATCATAGCATATGAATTTAGAGTACATTTAAAGAAATAGTCTCTGAAAGGAAAAAGTGGTAAAATTGGAAGAGCACAAGAGGTGCTGAAACCCCCTTAAATATTTTTTTATTGGAAAAGAGAAATTGTGACCTTTTTGAGAGGTTAAATGCTTTTAAAAATCTTATTAAACCAATGATGGATTTTTTTCCTCTTAACCTCGTGGGGGGGGGGGTTCTGTTTTGTTTTGTTTTTTTAATTCACTAATCATATGTGAACACCTACTATGCCTGTGCTAAGTTGGGAGACACAAGGACTGATTCCGTGATCTCACTGATGTCTCCATGTTGGCACACTGAATGACAACATGCTCCTGCAATGGAATAGGGTCCAAGGGCTCTTGTCAAAGTTGTCCAAGCCTGCATCATCATGTCAACCAATCTGTTACTGCTTCAGGCAAAAGATACATTTTTTAACTAAGTTAATTTTTTAAAATATTTTTGTTATGTAAACATGACAACTAGTTGGCATCCTAAAGTTTTAAATATATACAGGCTAGTCTTCTTTCAGCAAAGTCTTGCCAGTACATCTTTTTTTACCTCCCTGATTCTGTGTCTCCAAAGAGCTGTCCTTGTAATAGTACTAGTCTGCAGTGATGACCGTCCCATCTGGCTTCCTAGTCTCTATCTGCCACTGTCCCAGCCGCAACTGCTGCAGCAGAGGCTCAGCAGCTTCATGCCCTCGTGACAGGAGCACTCAACCCCCAAGGATGCACACAAATACTGGTTCCTGGAGCAGCCTTCACAGAGATGGGAGTAGTTCTCTTGATCCCAGAACCAGAGCTCCCTAGGCTCCCACCCTTAGCACAATTCTTTCTGGCAACCTATTCTCTGCTCAGACCATCGAAGCACAAATATATTCAACCCTGACCCCAGACACATCGTAAGCCTCACAGCCCTTAAAGCAAAGCATGAAGAAAAACCTAAAATCCTTGGCTCTCTGAACTGTTTCTAAAACAAGTAATAGTTATGCCAGTAAAACTGTCACTTTAAGTGAATTTCCTAATTTAAGGAGGGAAATCATGAAAGTATAACAGCTTCCTGCCAATCTAACTCAGATCAGAGATCCTTTCTCCTTGGGTTAGTGTGTCTCATGTCAGTAGGACAGCAGTCATAAAAGGAAGGCGGCCCGGTAACTGTTTAATAGACATTTTCCCAGAAATCAAAGTGCTGCTTTTCAAAAGACAGTCAGTCACTTTGCAGTACAAGCACCAGGGAACTCCAGACACTTTGCTGCTTCTGCAGCCCACATACCGCCCAAGCACACACAGTACCCCCCCATCACATGCTCTTTGTTGTTTGAATTAAAGCAGGTAGAATGTACCATCATATAAAACAATCAAAATGCTCTTTGTTCATCTTAATTTCCCAGTCTTTAGCAAATGGCATCCAAAGTGTGGCAGGGGGTCATATGTCTTTCCTCCGCCATGTGTTGCTTTGCTTTCAAGGGTTTTCTGATTTGGGCTTGGTTTTTTAATGGGGGGAGGTGTGTGTTTGTGTTTGGGAGTTTTCTTTTCCCCCAATGTTTTGGGGTCTCCTGACAAACTGTTAACATGGATTACAGGTGTTCTTGTTTGGTCAGAGCCCAATAGTCCTTTTTTATTGTTTTTAATGACTGTGTTGATAGTAGCCATCTCAACTTCAACAGAAAAAATGGATTTTAGTTCATAAGGGAAGAAAGCAATATTATAGGCCTCTGATCACTAACCTTCCCTTCTTCGCTTCTGTCTAAAGAGCCAGGACTTCTCACTCAACATCAGAGACAAAAGAAAGGCTGCAAAAGAAATCACTGCAGCTCAGGCAAGGCATAAACAGGCAGATGTTGTCTGATGTTGAAGAATTTTGTCAAACCATAGGTGTGGATCATGGCATGGGTGGGAAAAATAAAAACCACTAGTGAAGATTATGTTTCAATTTGCTCTTTCCCTACCCTGCAATTCAAGAAGGTGCTTTTATTTTCAGATATACTCTGCAAGACAGTTTCTTGTCTTGTGCTTCTACAAGCTAGCTTCCAATGAGTATTAACCCCTCAGCGCCCCCACACTAAGTATTTATAAGATTCTGTCCTTGCACAGAGCATTTGTCAAAGATTTAAGGGGCCGGTGAAAAGGGTCCTTAACCTTGTCCAGGCTGAACTGCACTTAAGACCCTAATCCCCGTGACAAGCTTTCTGGCCCCTGGCCTTCTCTGATGTTCAGTCCTATTGAAGCAGTGGCCACAGTGGGAAAAGTCAAACAGATATTTGCTGACTCAACATAAAGAAGTGATCACGCATTTCTGGGTTTAGAATTTGACCTCAAAAGAACAGATGTAGGTGTTTCAATTAATATAGACTTTGAAGATGTTGAATATTATGTGAATACCAAAACTTTCTTCTTGGCTCAAATACTCTGGATGGCTGTCTGCTATTTGAATTTTTGTGGTTAATTAATTACCATTAGAAGAATGCCAATTTTTCCTGTTCTTTTTGAGTTTGTAATTTGAGTATATAACTTCCTAGCAAATTTCAGCATTGATATGAACATAAAGGATAATTTGAAATGTTATTGCTATAAGCCAGCCACTCTACTGGGGTTGCATTTTAAAATCTGGAATATATAAAAACATGTAAGCGATGGATCTTCAGTTCTTAAATAAAGGGCTTAAAGGAAAATTACTGCTTCTTCAGCAAAAAGCCAGCTCCTGTAAAGATGACAGCACTCAATCTGCGGACAGGAGGAAGTGGGAAGCAGGGCTGTGTAACTGCTGGTCCCATGGCCTACGGAATTTTCCAGTAGACCATGAGAGCAGAGAGCAGAACACTGTTCCCTTCTTCACAGCCCATGTCCTAAAATAAAGCATACAGACAGTTTCAATTTTTACAAAACATTTCAAGCATTTCGGATTTCCTTGCATTTTTTGCCGATGATTAGATTTGGGGGTGCATTTGAAAAGGCGTTCCCAGAAACAGCAGTAGTATAGAAACAGTCATTCTGGAATTACACTACCTTTCCTTCTAAAATGGCCACACAAAAACATTCCCGACTACCAAGTGGCACCAGCTTTCAGTCCCAGTCTTATTTACATACATGTAATATTGTTTTAACCATTAGGATGCCTTTGACCTTGATTGCTCTTCAAGCGCCAAGTAATGGTGGACAGATGTGTGGCCTGTGCCTTCCCGCTCTTTTGGTGATATGACAGCTTGCTCGGTGGTATTTTGTGTTTGCTCACTTGGCTTTCCTCCCCTTTCCTCCCTGCCCTGTGGGCTGGCAGTGCCGCGGTCCAGCAGGCCGGCTGCAGAGCCTCGGTGCCTTCCAGCAAGGGCAGCAGCAGCGGCAGCAGCAGCAGCGGCAGCAGTTCGTCCAGTGACTCAGAGAGCAGCTCCGGATCTGACTCGGAGACCGAGAGCAGTTCCAGCGAAAGCGAAGGCAGCAAGCCGGCCCACTGCTCCAGCCCTGAGGTAAGATCTGCCCTGGCCCCGAGCCCCAGGAGCTCAGTGAGTCCTTTGCTCTGCATTTGGCCCCACCCCATCCCACCTTTGCACTGTGACAGCCAAGACCCTGAAGCCACCACCCCTGGCAGCCCATCGGGGTTTTTGTGGGGTCACCCTGCTCTGTCCCCTCATCAGTTCTCTTTATTACAGAGTTTCCTTGGAAGCACGGATACTTCATCTTTCATTGTCCAAAAATCTCTATCTTGATTTCCAGAAATTTCCAAATATGCTATAACTATCACTGACTGGAAATACCCCTATGGATCAGGCCTCCCTAGGTCAGCAAGGCAGTAACCACTAGGGCAGCTCACTGTCTAGGCAGTGTGGTCACCCATAAATCACAGGAAAGGAGTTTTATGGATGAGACATGGTAAGAGCTCACATTTTTTGCAGTTTGTCATGGATTAGAAGAACAAGAGCTGTAAGTAATAATAAAACCTTCTTAACTGTGTTTTCTTTGTGAAAATATAAAAAAGAAAAATTAGCATCAACCTACAAATAACAATGAAACCTTTTATAGCTACAATGAGTACCTATGTGGGAGATTTAGATGCCTCATATAAAAACATTATAAGGTACCGATAAAAACATTGCTTTTTCTACTTTAAAGGGAAAAGGAGAAAATTAAATAGTATTTCAGAGCATGTAGGTTCTCGGGAGAGCGTTAAGAGCAAATTTCGCTAGTCCATGGCTCAGTAAGGGTCAACTTTGACTTCTAAAGAAAGAGTAAAAATACAGTTTCTTATTGAGTGTAGAAGCATTTGACTTTGCCATGGGTTGTAAGATTTAATTTTTCACCTGACAACCCTGCGTATCACTTTGGGGCCAAAATTTCTTAGGAGGCTCTGAAATAAAACGAAAGCCACTTATGCAAAGCACAGCAGTGAGCAGGGCACACCCAAAGGGCAGCACAATGCCTGTTTCCAGCTCTTGTACCTGTGCCTTAGGACACATGAAAGCCACTGTGGTTTTATCTGAAGTCCATAGACTGGCTCTTAAATTCCCTCAGAATTTTCCCTTTCCAATGTCCTTTCAGGAGGCCAGGCAGGGCTTTTTGCAGGGGCACTAAATACCCAGGGAAGTAATATTTCCCCACACTCCTCATTTCTTCACCAGCACCTTTCTGCCTGCTCCTGGTACTCTCCATCCATCCTGAAATAAGCCGTCTCTCCTGTACCTGTCTCCCTTTTCCATGAGGCTCACCTTCTCTCTCTCTCTCCCTCTCTCTCTCTCCCTCCTTCCCGTCCTGCTCCTCCCCCATATAAGAGGAAGGCTCTTAACAACATTAGCCTATAAAAGCCAGAGGTTGATATAACCCTGATTTTTCCCAGAAACTAAATTATTATTCCTCCTTTATAATTTGATTCATTTGTTCATTCATTCATTCACTCATTCATTATTCATTCAACAAATATTTATCAAGCATCTGCCATAGACCTGGCGCTTGGCTCTGGGATACAGCAATTATCTGATATCCCTGTCTTCCTAGAGCTGGCATAATAATGGGAATAATTTAAAACAAAAAAAATACAAGGGTTCAATAAAACGGAGTTAAACAGTCTTCTTCAAAGTCAATTTTATGTGGTAATTTGTTGAGAACTCCAAAATATTATTAGTTAGAAGAAATAGCTGGGCTTCAGGGACATTGCAAAAGCCAAAGAGGGCAGTGTCAGTGTCTCTGTCAGTGTCTGTGAAGACCCCCCCATCCGGGTTCTTCTCTGTGACTTTGAAGGTTAAATTCCTGAACAGTTGAGTCTTACTTTCATACTGAAATGTGATATCTAGAGCTCGTGAATGAAGCTGAAACCTAGCCTAAGAGCGGTACAGCTATAAGGTGCTTTAAGCAATTTCTTTCCAAATGGTACTGAGATTACTAAAAAGACTTGAACTCCTTGGTGATGAAAGGAAGCTCTTGTCATTTCTTGCAGCAGCTATCAGAGGCCCCTAGCTAAGGAGAGGGAGCTCTGCTGAAGCAGGCCTGAAAGTTCAAGTTGCCTGAGGCCACATATAGTTTTCAATTTCTTGCTTCTCTATACAGAGAGAATGCACAAGTGGCAAGTGAGGTGTTAGCCACCCTGCAAGTTACCTCTTTCTGCGGGAAAGGAATGTCTTAGTTGGAATAAAAGTAAGTTTATTCTTTTAACGTTTTTTCCAAGATATTTAATACAGACACATGCCCTTTAGAAATAAAGAGAATTTGCAGAATGAAAATTGCAAAGAAGGGGAGTAGCATAATGGGACTGACCATCCCCAGTGTCACCATTTCTCTCTGACTGAGCTGGCCCAGGTCACCTTACAGAAAGCAGTGAGGCTCGTTTCCCTGAATCCCAACTGATAAGGAGAGCTCTGTGTAGCCTCACACCTCACATTCCATTGTGCAAACTGGTTTATGCAGCTTAGAAGCAAAATGCTTCTGACCTTCACTTTCCCTTCTGGTAACATCCTGACATGGGGGAGTAGGAGGAGACCCTCATAATGTTTCAAGGACCCTGTGTTCTCCCCCTCACCATGCCAGCACCAGAAACCCATGGGGCTCAACTGAGCTTCATCTGAACTGTCCTTCACGGCTGTGGTTGTAGACCACAGCTGCAGTGTAGTCACTGCATTTTACGTGAATTGCCATGGTATAATGCCTTGTCTGCACGCCAGCACAGAGGAGCCACTGCGAACACTGTGTTCGTCTCTCAGATCCTCTCCCTGTGGCCTAATGTCTGCTTAGTTATTGGTCTAATTTTTTTCACGTGAGTTTCATCTTCTTTCCTGGCATGGTACATCCTTTCATGTCAGAGCTTTGCAGGACAAACTACCTTGCCCTCAGCTAGCATATTTACACCTGCACACAGAGCTCTCTCAGACCTCCGGCCATATGATTTTGAGGAGGACCAGGATTAAGTAGGTTTAACTCATCTCTTTACTGTAGGGCTTCACCCAGCTCCTAATATTCCTCAAGTAAACTGTATTTTCCCTTGTACATTTCCCAAACTTATCTGACCATGGAAACCTTTCTCGTGGACTATATGAACTAAAAGCGTATTTTAGAAAATGCTGCCCTAGATTGTTCTGGAAAATCAGTGGAAATGTGATGCAAGTTATTCATTGATTGAACAAGCTCCTCCTTAACTAGGTGTCTGTGAGGTCCATGGCAGTGGGTGCTGTGAAGGATATAGATGAAGCAGGGACCACAGTACTTGACGGAGGGCTTGTGCATGAGTCAAAGCAGGGATTAATCAAGGAGAGTCATGGCTGAAAATATAAAGTAGCAAGCAAGCAAACAAACTGCTGGGCAGAAGCCCTGTGGATGGAAATGGAAGTCAACCATTCCAGCAGCGTGCCAGAATAAGAGAGACCCAAGCCCTGAGTTCCCCCCGTCACTGCCACTTAAGTCTTCATGGTTAAGCTTCCTTGGCCATGTTTGCCCCAACCCCAGAAAGGCAGATATTCCTGTGCTGCCTAATCTGTGAGGCTGTTCTGAGGAATTAATTATACAATTTGAGTGACAGCCCATTGTGAGTTGTTCTTAGGAACAGAGTCATAACAATCTACCTCCCTAACCTATTACAGACACTGCGAGGGACACAAAGAAACAGACTGGCTCCAGCCTGAAAGAAGTGTTTGGCCTTGTTGAAGATAGAACATATACACATAAAATTAATATAAACATCAAACAGCTATGCAATTGCCCTGGCCAGGCAGCTCAGTTGGTTGGAGCATTGTTCTGTACACCAAGAAAGGTTGTAGGTTCCACCCCCGGTCAGGGCACATACTTAGGTTGTGGGTTCAGTCCCTGGTCAGGGTAAGTATGGGAGGCAACTGATGTTTCTCTCTCATGTCGATGTTCCTCTTTCTCTCTCTCTCTCTCTCTCTCTCTCTCTCTCAAATCAGTAAACATACCTTCAGATGACAATGTTCTTTAAAGGCTATGCAGTTGAGGATAATAGAAGGCACAGTTATTGTTTGGAGAGTTAGTGGTATTTTCCAAAAATCAGACTTAATTCTTTCACTTTAGATTGAAGACCAACATTTCTCCAGGGAATGAGGTCCCCCTTTCTTGAAGCTACACCAGACAGTAATGGGAGATTAGGTGAAACAACTGGGGAGAGAACCTGATCTTTAAACCTAGATAAATACAGGTTTATTCTCGGTGGTGCCTGGTAGTTCTGCAGCTTTGGACATGTCACTTAACCTCTCTGATCCTCATCTACAAATTACGGGAGATAATATTTCTTCACTGTATGGATTAAATTAGATGACATATGTGAAGTGGGAGGTACATTATAGGTGTTCTGGCAAGGAAAGATGACTGTAAGGTGATGGATGCCCTTGAACACCCGCCAGAGAAATTTGGATTTCATTTGAAAGGCAATAGGAGGTCATTGTAGATCCTTGAGAAAGAAAGTATGATTTAGTAATGTGTTGAAAATGATACTTCAAACTGATTTCTTCAGCTGTGAAGTGCAAAAAAAACCACACAAACAAGACCCTAAAGCACATCAGGCAATGGACCCCAAACTAAATTTGTTAAATTCTCCTCTTTGCTGTTAATGTTGCCACCAGGAAGTCTCAGTTCGAATCCCTGTGCGCAGCTGTGGTTTGACTACAGGCAGTCATCAGAGGTGTGAGCTGTGGAAGGCTCAGGATGGAGAGGGAGGGGAGGACTTGGTGGCTGGGCCAGAGTGGGGGCATGCTCTGCCATGTTTGCTCCCCCTCCCAGTGTGTCCCTTTTCTGCAAGATGCCCCTTCAGCCTCCCTTTCTATTTACTGTGCCCCATTTGTCTAAGGAAGCCAAGGCACACAAGTCACTGACTTGTCAGTGGTCACATAATGAGAGAAGTGGGAGTGGGATGAGACAGTAACAGAAGCCATAAATTGTTTACCACCAAATTAGCTTTCAGCCACAATCAACTGTCTTGGGGAAGATGAGAGCTTCCCCTTGGCAAAGAAGCTGTTCTGTGTCCTGCTGTCCTGCCTCCTCCATTGCATGCATGTACTGCTGCAGTGTGTACCAAGTTTGCTCTGTTTGTTTCATATGTTCCTTTTCTCCAGAGAAGCCAAAATAAAACAAGGTCAGAATTTGCATATAACAACTCAAGGGCACCAAAAAGATATTTTTGTTCTTTTATGTCTTGCTCTGGAGCCCTGGTCCTTTTTGGTGTATGAAAACAAAGAAAGCGCAAAGTCAAGTCAAAGACCAGACTCCCCACCAGGGCCCTACCCTCCCACACCTATATCCCAGGGTGAAGCCTCTCCATCTGACAGGCCCAGGGCAAGGGCCTTGGATCCTCAGGCTGCATTCCACTGAAATGTTGCTTGTTCTTCCCAGTCACTGGACACCTTGTGCTCGAGTTCCCTGAAGTACAGTTGGTCTCATCTGTTTCAGAAGAACCACTAGGATGTCCACGGTCCCTGCCATGGCTCTAATGTGTAGTTCCCACACTCTGTGTCCTCTTCTTCTTGGCCTCAGGCGCCTCTGGCTCGTCAGAGGCTTCTCATCTTCCTGAGCCGTGCTCCACAGATTCCTCCAGACTCAGCCAGGACCTTTGTGTCTCTTCATCCCTTCATGTAGTTGTTTCCCAAGTCCTGCTCCTAATAGGGACCTCACTATTGAAAAACAAATCTTTATACATAAAAACAAGCTTTAGAAATTATTGTGTAGAAAAAAATGTTTTTCTCCTACAAGGGAGCCTGCCTTGCTCTGGACTTGAACCAGTCATGTTCAAAGTGCAAAGCTAAGCAATGTCTTCTTTTTCTAGGTGATATGTAGTCTCCTGGAACAATGGATGCCATGATTAGCGGGTAGGAGGCTGTTGGGGAGGAAAAATGCATCACCTTAATCGCTCAAAACATTTTACCGTTTCACATATAGTCACAAATGGCAAACACTCCAGCTAGAGTTCTATGCTTATCAATATACCTATTTTCTTTTAATAATCACAGATGATGGATAAATGGACTTTTATTAAAAATCAACAAATCAAGCATTTGCTCAGTTAACCTTTTTATGAGACATAGAACGATGGCCTTCTCCTAGAAAAAGATAACTCTGAAACATTTCACATTCTGTTTAGGGGCATTCATGGACTCTCTGTAACCAGTCTCTGGGGCAGAGTTTAAAACCTGTGATATCCATGATTTGCTCTAAGTTAGCAAAACTGCCTGCAGGAAAAATTTCTATCATCACTTTCATGGCTGAAACATTTCTAGCAAAGTGGGGTGGAAGCAGGCTGAGGATGGACTAACCAAGTCCATCTGCCAGAGCACATGGGGCTCACACAGGCCTCTTATTAAATGGAAGTTCCAAACCACTAAACAAGCCATCTTCTCAAAGTTACTGCTTCTGCGAGCAAATAACTATGCCCTACTTACCTTCCCCACAGGAACTATATGCTAATTCTTCAGGACTATAGGTTCCACTTATCCTCCACTTCTAATTTTTAATTTTAAGACCCCAAATTTTAAGTCTTACCAAAAAAAAAAAAGAAAAAGAGTGCTTTAACAGGGTCCCCACACTATTACCCACTAACTTTCAGAATCTTGTTTGTGTGTGTGAATGTGTGTGTGTTTAATTATAAAATATGTACATTGTATAACACTCAAAGGTACTAGAAATAGGTTCTAATGAAGTACAGTGCTATCCCTGAATTTTTCCTAATTGGCTTCAAAGTATTGCGCAGACATGTAAGTGACCTAGGACAGGAAAGGGACACCATCCTGCATCCTGTGTGCCAGCTGAGAGCTGCCATGCTCACTACTGGGCCCATGTTCCTTTTACTTTCCACTTGGTTTCTGCTCATACACCTAGAGGAATAAGTGAAGATAAAAACAGCCAGGCCTCTTTTGAGTCTGTAATAATGTTTTGTTTGTTTGCTTATTTTCTGCTTTTAGGCTGAGCCTGCATCCTCTAACAAGTGGCAGCTGGATAAATGGCTAAATAAAGTTAATCCCCACAAGCCTCCTATTTTGATCCAAAATGAAAGCCACGGCCTGGAGAGCAATCAGTACTACGCCCCAGGGAAAGACCAAGTGCAGGACTGTGGGAAACTCCCCGATGGTTGCCAAAGCAGCCTGAGAGAGAAGGACATCAAGAGCACCTGCAAGGAAGAGCAGAGGCCAAGGACAGCCAACAAGGCCCCGGGGACTAAGGGGGTGAAGCAGAAGTCCCCACCCGCGGCTGTGGCTGTGGCCGTGACTGCAGCCGCTCCACCACCCACAGTTCCTGGTGCGCCCCCTGAAAGTGTGCCGGCACCCACACGGAGGTCTGCCGGCAAGAAGCCCCCTAGGCGCGCAGAAAGGACCTCAGCTGGGGATAGCGCTAACTGCCAACGGCCAGAGGAGCCCGCAGATGCGCTGGGGGTGAGCGCAGCCATCCCTCCGGAGCCCACCAAGGCCAGGCCCTGTGGCAACAGCAGGACCAGCCACCGCAAGGAGCTGCGTGCCTCAGTCACCTGCGAGAAGCGCCGCACGCGGGGCCTGAGCAGGATTGTCCCCAAGTCCAAGGAGTTCATCGAGACAGAGTCATCATCTTCGTCCTCCTCCTCAGACTCTGACCTGGAGTCAGAGCAGGACGAGTACCCCCTGGCCAAAGCACAGGCCGTGGCCACTGCCTCTGCCTCTGCTGCTGCTGCCACTGCCTCTGCCGCTGCCTCTACCTCTGCAAGCGACCAGAGGCTCAAGGAGGCTGCCAGCAGCATCAGCAGTGGTGGTGGCCCCCGCGCACCCGTAGGCTCCATCAACGCCAGGACCACCAGTGACATCGCCAAGGAGCTGGAGGAGCAGTTCTACACACTGGTCCCCTTCGGCCGCAATGAACTTCTCTCCCCACTGAAGGATAGTGATGAGGTCAGGTCTCTCTGGGTCAAAATTGACCTGACCCTCCTATCCAGGATTCCAGAACACTTGCCCCAGGAGCCTGGGGTCTTAAGCACTCCTGCGGCTAAGGACGCAGAGAGCGCACCTCCAAGCCACCCATCAGACACACCGTCAGAAAAGGCTTTGCCAAAATCCAAGAGGAAACGCAAGGTAGGCTTGAGGCTGAGGGACTGGTGGGGAAGGAGGGCTGTGCCTTAACTTTTAGGTGAGGTGTCAGAGCATGAGTAGGCTGCTGGTCTCGCATGTAAGGCAGAAGTTCTGTGTGTCTTTACCCAGCAAATACTCATATAGTTCTAACACGTGCCAGATACTGTTGTAAACAGTTGACATACATTATCTCATTTAAACCCCTAAAACCACCCAATGAGGGAAGTACCATTATTATTCCTATTTTATAACTCTCAATAATTAAGCCCTGTGCCACCATATGATAAAGTAGGTATGCAAGAAATCTTTATCCACTCAGTGTGTGCCAAGGCAGGCTGGAAGCTGGGCCTGTAGAAAAGCTAAACATGTGATAAGCCCCATTCTTTGCTGGAAGGGATGCGAGGCAGTGGGAGAACGGGCCCTGTAAGAGGATCACCAGACTGAGGCCTCAGAGCTGCTATCTGTTACTCCCAGTCCTCAGATCAAAGAGTTTGGTGGTGGAGAGGGGCTGGGAACCAAGACCCTGAGGAGGAGGTACATTTGAGTACAGTCATGTGCCCCTTAACAACAGAAATGCATTGTTGGTGATTTTGTTCTTGTTCTAACCTCCCAGAGAGCAGTTACACAAACCTATGTGGTCCAGCCTGCTACACAGCTGGACCATATGGGATAGACTGACTATTGCTACTGGGTTACAGGCCTGCATAGCCTGTTACTCTACAAAACAGCATGACATTAAGTCAAGCACAAGAGAACACAATGCGATCAAGAGACAGGTAAACATGAGATGTGTGAGGCTGCTGCCAGCGAAAAAATAGCACAGGGGTTTACAGAAAACTTTTTTTAGTAAGTAGAAAGAGTACACTGTAAAATAACAATAAAATATATATAGTAAACCAGTAACATAGTCATCTGTTATCATTACCAGGTATTATGCATTGTACATAACTGTATCTGCTATGCTTTTATATGACTGGTAGTGCAGTAGCTTTATTTGTACCAGCATCACCTTAAACACGTAATGCATTGTGCTATCATGTTAGGACATCACTAAGTGATAGGAGTGTCTCAGCTCCATTATAATCTTAGAGGACCTCTATTGTATATGCAGTCTGTCATTTACTAAAACATTGTTATGTGACACGTGACTGTAATCAGAGGGTTAGGGATGAAGTGGCACCAAAAAGGGGAAAAGGGTAAACAAGTTAAGCACAGGAGTGAGAAAGGTAGTTCAAGTACAGGGAGAGCTGGAAACATATCAGGGAGCAGACCCAAATGCTTAGCAGTTTTCAAAGATTTTTCCCCATGGGAATAACTTAGTCATAAAATAAAGCCAATTTTGAGGATTCTTTCACCTCCTGATATGTATCTTCAAAAAATAACTTGGACCACAGTGGAAAACACAATGGGTAACAAACCAAAGATTGCAGTAATCATGAATGGTTCCAAAATCAGGACAAAATCATTAACAACAGTTAACACGTGTACGTCCTCATGAAGGATGCTGTTCTAAGCACTTTGTACATATTAAATCATATAGTCCTTATAAATTAATGAAGGAAATATTATTGTAATGCCCATTTTACAGATGAGGAAACTGAGGCTCAGGAGCCTAAAGTGACTTGCCGCAGGTTCACTAGGTGATAAGGGGCAGAGCCAGGAATGAGTCCAGTCTATCTGGCTCAGGGTCTCCCAATAAGAAGCCAGCCTCAGGTTTGTGTAGTACTTACCCACATGGCCCCTGCTCAGAAGTACTCTGGCTTAGAGTTTAATGCTTGTGGTTTGACATCTTCAAATTCTTCATTTTATCTTCAAATTTGTATTTTTTAAGTGAAATCTGATGGGACATGCTCAGAACCACATGGAGCTCTGTTTCACCTGTAGTCCCACCTGGTCCTGCAGGCCCTTGGGTCCCTTTGCACTCCTGGCTCTTCCAGGGATGGGGCTGCCGTCCTGAGGCCCCAGGGGCCAAGGGGCAGGCACAGTGAGGGTCAGGTCAGGGTGGGCATCTACAGTCCAGGTACTAAGTAGTCCCAGAGAGGAGACTGCAGTCCCCTACGGGTTGATGGTTTGCCTTGGGTTGGGGGTTGGGCTCTGGAAAGGAGAAATGCCCAACCGGACTTCCCTACCTCTCAACAGGTGGGTCCCACAAATGGCAGGCAGTGGAAACTCTCTGTGGTGGGCCACACAATGCACCCAGTTGCAGGACAGGACCCCTGGGCACTTGAGAATCTACACTCACTTCCCCAAGTATGCCACCCACTCAAGAAGCACAATATAAGAATATCAAGTAAATACCACCATGGAGGATCAAGAGAGAGACTTTAACAGAAAGGAAATGTTTTCTATTTTAGTACTTTATATGTTACTCTTCCTGCTTTTTAAAAACAATTTTTGTAGTATAATTGACATTAACATTATATTAAATTTTGGTATACAGTGTAATGATTCTATATTTGTGTATATTGCAAAGTGATCACCACAATAAGTCCAGTTAATGTGCACTATCATACATAATTACAAATTTTATTCCTCCTGGTAAGAACTTTTAAGATCTACTCTCCTATTGACTTTCAAATATACAATACAGTATTATCAACTATAGTCCCTATGCTGTACATTACATCCCAGGGCTTATTTATGTAACTGGAAGTGTGTTCTTTTTGATCTCCTTCACCCATTTTTTTCCCCACTCTCCCCCCAAACCCCTCAAACTCCTAGACAGCCAACAATCTGTTCTCTACGTCCATAAGTTTGGGGTTTTGTTTTTAGATTCCACATATAAGTGAGATCATACAGTATTAATGTTTTTCTGTCTGAGGTATTTCACTTAGCATAATGCCCCCAAGGTCCATCCATGATGTTGCAAATAGCAAGATTTTATTCTTTTTTGTGGCCGAATAATATTCGTGTGTGTGTGTGTGTGTGTGTGTGTGTGTGTGTGTGTGTGTGTTATAATTTTCTTTATCCATTCATCCATTGATTGATGTGTAGGTTGTTTCGATGTCTTGGCTATTTTAAATAACACTGCAATAAACATGGGATGTATATTATCTTTTCACGTTAGTGTTTTCATTTTCTTCAGCTGAATACCAAGTAGTAGAATTGCAAGATTATATGGTTCTATTTTTTATTTTTTGGAAGCCTTCATACCGTTTTTCATAGTGGCTCTACCATTTTACATTCCCATCAACAGTGTAGGAAGTTTCCCTTTTCTTCACATTCTTGTCCACACTTGTTATTTCCTGTCTTCTTGATAATAGCCATTCTGACAGGTGTGAGGTGATAACTCACTGTGGTTTTGATTTTCATTTCTCTGACAATTAGTGATGTTGAGCACCTTTTCTTGTACCTGTTGACCATCTGTATGTCTTTCTCTGGAGGAATGTCTATTCAGGCCCTCTTCCCATTTTTAACCAGATTTTTTGGGTGTTTTTGCTGTTGAGTCTGTGAGTTCTTTATATATTTTCGTTATTAGCTCCTTATGAGATACATGATTTGCAAATATTATTTTCATGTTGTTGATAGTTCCCTTTGCTGTGCAGAAGCTCTTTGTTTTGATGTAGTCCCACTTGATTATTTTTGCTTTAGTTACCTTTGCTTTTGGTGTCAAATAGCAAAAAAAAAAAAAAAAAATCTCCAAGGCAAAAATCTTTTCCTGCTTTTTGAACAAGGGGCCCAATTTTTTTTATTTTCTGTTGAACCAGAAAATTATGTAATCCTCCCTGGCCTCTTGGGTGACCTTACCTTGTCTTTATTTCACTTTCTTTGTAAAATTATGACACCTTTGCCAGGGTATTGTCAAGTTCAAACAATATTATCCAGTAATATGGGTTAGTTAATTACTTACCTACTCCTCTTTCTTCCTGTTTTCCCCTAGATATCCTTCCCTTCTTTTTACTTTTGGATTGATTTGACCAGCCATCCCCGGGTGGTAAACTGATTGATGAATCAATCGGTCAGTTAAACATTTGGGGATTGATGGATACATGGATGGGCTAATGGAGATTGAGAGAGAGAGAGAGAGGGAGAGGGATAAGAGGAAAAATACACATCTAAAGTTAAACATAAACAGGGGAAAAAAGAATTTAATCAAAGTGCTATTTATAAAAAGGTACTTTAAGGAGATGTCATGGGATATTCATTGTCAACTAGAATTAAGGCACCAAGAGGTAATAGCCCTTGCTTGAAATTCATAAAACCATGAATTTCAAAAGAAAGATTCAAGCTTGTCACTGCCCTCATGGCATTAAGCCAGAATAGGTTGTTTATTTGGATATCAAATATGCCAAGATGAGAGATGTTGAAGCTGTAGTGTGAATTCAGGACAGGTCTTTTTTTGGAGGGCCAAATCGGGCCTGTTGATGGTGGAGCAATTTTCATCACTCACAATGTTTTGCCCTGGATTTTGATCTTGACACTGTGCATTTCCTCTCACTGCACTGTCAAGGGTGAAATTGGCAGATTTCATTCTTATTTGTTGAGTTGCTGCTGGGAGCCTAGACCAGAGCCAAGGGGGCTACGGCCCTGTTGCTGCTCCAGATGCTTTCCAGAGGGGCTGAGAGGGCTGGTCTGCGGGAGGCCTTGCTTGGTGGAAGTTGGTGTTAGGAGCTCATTATGATCCCTTAAAAGCCAAAGCTGATTGGTTTTTGCTTATTTCCATGCAGTGTGACAACGAAGATGACTACAGGGAGATCAAGAAGGCCCAGGGAGAGAAAGAGAGCTCTTCACGACTGACTGCCTCTGCCAATAATACTTTGTCTGCTAATCACTGCAACATGAACATCAACAGGTATGTGTGCTCCCTCAAAGGCAGAGGTGAGCAGGAGGAATCTCTGGATCTGAAAGTCATGTGTCATATTGGGGGAGAGCCAGATTTTTCACAGCTGCTCTGGTCTGGGTCTCCAGACTGACTTTCCTTGGTTTCACCTGAGGCTGATAATCATACCTGGACATGTGCCTTGTATCACAGCTCCGCTTGTGGGTTAGTGGGTAGTTCTTTGTAGCAAAAGACCAGGTACTAAATCCACACAGTTCTGCACTCCCAGAGACACACCTTCCCTCTGAGAACTTAATGACTGAATTTTCAATCCATTATTTTAATAACTGCTGAACCGCTAGAACACTAAGCTTATTACATAGATAAAGAAATAGAAACTTTGAGCAGAATCTTCATATGAGGTAACAGGAACTCTTAGATAGAGACTAAAATTGTAGTGCTAGACAGGACCTGTGTCTGCAAGGTTAAATGGACACCAGGTGACTCCTCTGAAGGCGTTCCAGATGGACCCACATTACACTGAATCCCCTCTGTGACAAATGTCTTTCTAGCAAGGCAAGGTCCCAAATATTTATCATAAGCTAGTAGTTTCCCATCAGTCATAGAAGCTCTTTCTATTTAGAAACACCACAGCTTGGAAACTACTTTTCCTCTGCTAAGACACTCACTCTCCCTGACTGTGTACATAGAATTTTTAAGGGGAGATTAATGCTTCAGTGCAACACATAAAAATGTAAACTGAAAGGTTAGGAAAAGACATAGAGCAGCACTAAAACTCAGAGAGGAGATTGGAGACCAGGGCCTGGGAGCCAGGCCCACTGCAGTGGTAGAGGCACGTTGGGAAGGAAGGCCAGAGAGCCTGGAGGTCCAGGCAGCAGGGAGAGCCACACATGCAAGCCGGCCTTGTCCACAAATTCCATGCCAAGTGGGCAGTATACCCAAAATATTGGGAAAATGTGAATGGGGGAAATGTGGTCCCAGATAGTCGTTAAAGTGTACAATATAGTTATATATATGCGTCTTCATGCATTAGCATCAAGCAACCTTTCTAGCAGATCTAGTAACTGCTGTGAACATCTAAGCAGTGATGATTATAAAGAATATTCAAGATGCTCAATTTCAATGAGAGATTAGTGAAAATGAAGATGTAACTTTTTCCGTCCAAGTTCATGGAGCCCAGGATATGGAAGCCCTTGCAGTAGAGCCTTTGCCTGGCAGAGCCTGCTCACTCTGGCAGTTTCATATTAAATAATGAAGCAGTGCTTATGAAAGTGCTTTGAGTACTTTCTAGGAAAGGTGGTCTATGCAGTTCTGGATTTGTGATGACTGCTGTCAAGTTATACCCATGGGTTGTGATGAGACAACCCCATATATAAAGCAATTACACATCCCAAAAAGGAGATCCAAAGAAAGTTTCTTTTGTCAACTTGACTATATAAAATTACAGTGATGAAGAGAAATAATTGTTTGTCCATGGCAACATTTAATGTAATAATTTAGTTTTCCATGAACATTTAAAATCACATACATGTAAAATAATAGAGATTTAGAAATAGGACTTTTTCACTCACATGTCAAGAAACAGTAATATTCAGACTGTTCATATCCATCCTTAGCATCAGTGCCTTCCTCCTCACTAGTTGAGTTACTTTGATTGGCACAAGTCAGTTTTCCAGAATGCATCTTCTCACTTCTAAGTTGTTAGACATCCAGTGCTTTTTGAACCAGAAATCTATCACTACAAATTCTATCCCTAAACATGTCTGTTTACATACTCTCTAGAACCTTGGCTTTATCATTCGAGGCCTGTCTTTGTAATTTCTACACCGTCACCACCAACTAAGGAAATTGTTCTTTGAAGTGGCTTTAATGGCCTGTTTGCAGTGATAGCCAACACATACGATTAATAAATCATAACTACAGGAATAATGACTAAGTCTTTGTTGAGTGGATTTACTTTTTTTTTTTAACTATCAGGTGACTTCTACAAGTTTCCCAAATTAGCAATGATTCAGTTTCTTTCAGGCTAATGTGCCTTTTCCCAATTTTTTTTTCAAAATTAAGTAATGGAAAGAGTCCTATCAATATAATATACATTGCAAAGACTCAAGTATAAATGACTCTTTTCTGATGGTTAATTTGCAGGGGAGGGGCAAGGGGAGTTGTAGACAATAGTTTTGAAGGAAATAAGGAGCTAGGAATCAGAAAATGGCACTTCTGATAAGTTTTCTATTCTGTGTTTATTCTGATCAGTGCCTCGTTAGCTCAGAAACCTAATAATTGAAAGTTACTTCTTGCTTTGCAGGTTACTCTGAGATTCTGTTATTCTCCATGTAATAATTAGTATAAGCTCAGGTGTTAGCAAAAGTGCTTTTAGAAGTAGGAGCACAGCTCTAGTTTGGTGGCTCACTTGGTTGGAGAATCATCCCATGTACCAAAAGGTTGCAGGTTCAATTCTCTGTCAGGGCACATACCTAGGTTGTGGGTTCAATCTCCAATCAGGTCGCATATGGGAGGCAACAAATTGATGTTTCTCTCTCCCTTCCTTTCTCTCTAAAATCAATAAACATACCCTCGGGAGAGAATTAAAGAAAAAAAAAAGGACTAAGGAACATGTATATCATTTGAGTTACTTTCTCATTACTTGCTGCTCACACTTACTAGGAAAACATTAACCAACAAAACAAAGATGCAAGGAAAACAAGACCAGCAACACTGAAAGAAAAAGAAACCAACAGAGACAAGAGGGAAGGAGGGAGAGGTGGGCAGGGATAAAGGAAGGGAAGGAGCAAGTCAAGGAACATACAGCAAGGACTCATGGACAAAGCCAAAGTGGGAAAGGATTGAGGGAGGGAGAGGGGTGAGGGGGGCAGGGGAAAGTGGTGGAGGGAAGGCGGAGACAAATGTATTTGGAAAAATAAATTAATTTAAAAAATATTTTATAATTAACTTTGACATTTTAAAAAATAAATAAAATCAATCTACATTTAAAAAAAAGAGAGAGAGAGAGAGAGAGAGAGAGAGATGGAACTCCTACTTTTTGTGACCACATGGATGGAAGTGGAGAATATTAAACTAAAGTGAAATAAGCCAGTTGATGAAAGACAATTACCGTATCATCTTACCTATAAGTGGACTCCATTCAACAAAATAAACTAATGAACAAAATAAACCACAGGCACAGAAACATGGAGCAGACTGAAAGTGACCAGAGGGAAGGGGGAAAGAGGACAATGGTGGAAAGAAGGGGAAGGGACTAGACAAAGAACATGTATGAATGACCCATGGACATGGACACAGAGTGGGAATTGACTGTGGGAGCGGGGGGTGGGGGTTGGATGAGTGAAGAGGGGTTAAGGGAGAAAAATTGAGACAACTGTAACAGAATTAACATGATTTATAAATAAAAAATAATAGTAATAAAATAATAGTATTAAGTACAAAGAAAAATTGTTGTGTATTTTGAGATCCTTGGATGAAAAAACTAGGAAAATGAAGGTCTTATTATTCTTGGTTATTTAACTCCAGAATTACTCTTGATCCTGTAGGACAAGTAAAGAAACAACGAGTGAAATTTGCTTATTGTTTGTTATGGTGCTAATGCCATAAAATTTTTTCCTGGTATAATAATTCCCCGTAAATGTCTTCCTCCCAGCAGGTGTTAAACAGGAGGTTAGAGTCGTATATAAAACATTTACCTCCCCCTGTGCTGGCTCTGTGACATTCCATTACTGTGATTTTCCTTTTCAGCTTGGCAATACCCATAAATAAAAATGAAAAATTGCTCCGGTCACCCATCTCACCCCTCTCTGATGCCTCTAAACACAAATACTCCAGCGAGGACTTGACGTCTTCCAGCAGGTCTAATGGCAGTGGTCTGTTCACGTCCACCACCTCCAACAAAAAGCTTAAGGCTGATAACCAGCTGCAGTCTCATTCTGGAGATCTCGCGGTACGTTGATACTCTTCCTGTCCTGATTAAAATTATAATGAAACTGAGCACACCCCTATAGTCTACCTGTCTCTAGCCCAGTAGTCTGAAAACACACTTGAGGTTCCAAAACGGATCCCTAAGGCTGCTCTGGGACTTCCCAATCTGAAATGAAATTGCCCCAAAGTAATACTGTTGCAGCACAGAGTAAATTGGGAGTTTGGGACCAACCAGCCTTTCTGGTCAAAAAGATTCCTTGACCCAGGACTGAGCTAAACTTGGAATGGAAACCCCAGTCCAAAATGTCGGGATTCCCACTTCAACCCCAGGTGATCAGTGTAGCAGCCCCTGCCACCACTCCTTTTGTTGTGACCTGCTCAGGTTGATTCTAGCACCCTACATTCCCTTGGGGAAGGGCAGGGAGTTGGGGTCCACAGTTTGTCTAGCCTTATGTCTTTGTGGCCACATGACCTTGGGTCATGTACCACACGTACTTCATCTCCCTGAGCCTGTTTCATTCACATAATGGTGTCATAAGATTGAAATGAAATGTTGTTATCTAAAGAACCTGGCACTTGTGAACACTGTTGCAACTCACGCTATAGGTTAGTTCCTCTTTACTGGCCCCCTCTGCTTGCAAGCTGGTGGCCCCGGACCAAGCATCCTTTGGGGTACATTATTTCGTTCCAAATCTCCACACTGCATTCTCTCAGGTCACTGTGAGGCTGGGAGAGATGAGACATGAGAATATGACTGCGAACAAGATGGAGGGAGGCAATACTTAATGCTTTATCCTATGACTTAATAAGATTAAAAAGTTGGTAGAAGGTCTAGTAAGAACCTAAATCTTGTTGTATCAACAGGAAATTAACCCCCTTATGCACCATCATCTGCAAACAATTATCTTTAATTCTAAGCTGCAAGAATCTGATAAAACCATGTTAGAAAAACCTGAAATAAAAACCTACCAATTCAAATTTAAAAACAAACAGAACTTTTTTCTTTGCCTCTAGATTCTTATATCACATGCAAAAAAAAAATTGTATGGTGTGCAGGGAATTGTTAAGAAAAAAAATAACAGGCTTTATTTAGTCATTCTTTCACTGAACAGATGGTTATTGAGCAAGTACTTACTGTGTGCCAGACACTGTGGCGCACAGTAACAGAGACGCAATGATGATCTAACAGATTCAGTCCACTCCTCCGTGAAACCTCCCCTCTAGCTGAGGAGAGCGGCTTAGACCAGGGTCACGCATTCATAATTAACCTCCGTGCCTGCCAAGAAGGAAATGCACGGAGCACAAGAGGCTCTTATAACAAAGAGGTTTGATCTACACATAAAATCAGTCCTTATTTAAAGAAGCATGTGTATACACTCTATTGTAATTACTTCAGAGGAATTGATTTGAATTTCATAGCCAAAGACAGTTGTTTTCTGACCCATGTGTTACACACAGTGGATGCTCTATAAATATTTATGTCCCCAAGAGTTATAATTTTTCCACAGATCAATAATGTTCCTTTTTAAAACACTTTAAATAATTTCTAGTAATTCCCTGTGGTTTTTTGTAATCTTAACAGACAGCGAATGAGAGCCAGTCAAACTGTCATCTGAACAACTTCTCTTGTGTGAGGGATTGTAGATTACAGCTCAGTGGTTCTACACGCTTAGTCCCTGGAAGAGCGTCACCTGGAGCTTGTTAGAAATGCATGTTCTTGGGCTCTACCCCAGACTGAATCGGAGACTGGAGGTGGTGCCCAGCACTCTGTGTTAACAAGCCCCTAAACAATTCTCATGCAGAGTCTACTTGGAGAACCACCAGCCTAGCCAACTGAGAAAAGTAGGGGCCTGAGTGCTAAACCCTGGGCCTCTACCCACAATAGCTCATTGAGCTTGGACAAGTTACTTAAGCTTACCAAACCTCAGTGTCACTGTGAGAGTGGCCACACTAAGACTTCTCTTTTGATACTGTTAAGAGAATGACATTGGATAACATACAGGATGGAGCAAAAGTAGGTTTACAGTTGTGAGTACACAAAATGCAGTTTTTTCTTGTATTATTATTTATTATGGTATTACTTTCCATACAAACAACTGTAAGCCCACATTGGCCCACCCGTGTATATGAAAGCCCTCAGCTTGAGAACTGGAATGTGCATATTTCTTTTTCTTTATTTAAACAAAAAGCACCACCAATTCTACTATATAACGCAGAACACAAGACTTCTGTATAATGTGTTGCTCTTTCTCAAAAACCAGCCAAGTGGCTGGTTTCTCAAAAACTGGTTTGTTGTTTGTTGTTTAGAAAGCAGCTCACCACAATTCGGAAAACATTCTCCACAAGTCACGGCCACAGACAGAGCCATGGTCTCCAGGCTCCAACAGCCACCGGGACTGCAAGAGGCAGAAACTTGTCTTCGATGATATGTAAGTGTGGACTCTTTGTTGATATGGTGAGGGACAACATGAAATGGAAATTACACAGGTAGAAGGTTATATGCATCTAACTTACAGTGTGGCCATTTCTTATGCGACTTGATCAGTTCAATGTTACCCACTCAAAGGGGATGGCAGCTTAACTTTGAATGGGCCCCTGGGTCCTCGTGGGATGTTCTAACAGCTGAATGACCAGTGCTGTGGTTATATCTATGACGTCAGGAAGCTAAGGCAAATGGCATTAACAAGTCTTTTTTTCTAAGCACCTATATTTAGGACTGTTGGTGGTTGTATGCTACCATCAAGAGAAGCATTTTTGTTTTTGGTAAATTATAACAGGTAGAGAATAATAGTGATTCACTCCTGGAAGCTCTTTTCCTCTAAAATGCTATATTCTATATAACAGTATAAACAATCCTTATACAAGAAAAAATATCCTGTCACCCAACACCCAATCCTAGTGCTGAAACTCAAGTATTATTTCCATTCCCAGCATCAATTTAAAAGTAGAAGAAACAAAAGAAGCAGATAAATAAAAATAACATCCTGTAATGCTCTTGAGCTGAAAATGACAAATGAGAAATGATAAAAATGATACTGAAAATTATTTAGGCTCTCAGGGAAAAAAAATACTTGTCAAGGACAAGCCTGGAAGGCAGAAGATACGGTTTCAAGAGTTTGGCTTGACACCTGTTTTCAGCGTCAGTTGTTCACCAAGCACCTGGTCCATCTCTGTGTGAGGCACTACTTTAAATCCCAGGGGGCAGCAGCGTGTGATAATGAGAGATCCCTCAGGCCAGATTGCTTACAGTCCAGCCAAGGGGACAGATAGATACGAAACCACTAACTCCACCCAAAGTCAGAAAATTAAATGGTGTTAAATGCCTCCAAGTCCCAGCTTCCTTATCATAAAAAAAAGATAGTCATGGCATCTGTCTTCAGGGGGTTCTCCTAAGATCCAGTTAGATGTTCTCTCTTAATACCATTCATTTGGAGAATTGGAAGCACTGTGCCGATGTGGAGCCTCTTCCATTCTTGTCTTCCTCCCCTCCACTTCTCCAGCCCTAATGGCACCCAAGTGTAGAGCAGGTCTATTTATCACCTCTATAGACATTCCTGAGAAATGGGAACACAAGCTATGGTCCTCAAGGATTACCTGGGCTTCAATAAGTAATATGGGCACAGAATTTTGGCGTAGAAAGCCAAATCCACACTTTTTTTGTTAGTTTCATTTACTGAACACGTTCCAGGATCAGGAATGTACAGAAGGTTAAGGGTGGCCCAGGAGGACGCCTGTTTTTCTCCTCTTCCTATGGCTGCTGTAGCTGTGCTCGGCCCCACGCACCCTCTCCTCCTGGCCCTCACCCCCACCTCACCCCTCATCTTTGCCGCTGCCCCAAGCAGCAAGGGAGCACGTCATTGTTAAACAAAAAACTTTCATGGCCCAAAGCTTTTCTTTTTTTAATTTTATTAAATGTATTGGAGTGACACTGGTTAATAAAATTATATAGGTCTGAAGTGTACAATTCTATAATAGATTACCTGTACATTGCATGATGTATTTACCACCCAAAGTCAAGACTCTTTTTGTCACCATATATTTGACCTGCTTTACCCTATTCTGCCTCCCCGCAAACCTTCCTCCCCTCTGGTAACTGCTATACTGTTGTCTGTGTCTGAGTTTTTGTTTATTCGTTTGTTGTTTTCAGTTTTATATCCCACATATGAGTGAAATCATATGGTTATTGACTTTTTCTGTCTGACTTACTTTGCTTAGCATAATATTCTCAAGATCCATCCATGTTGTCACAAATGGCAATAATTCATCTTTTCTTGTGGCTGAGTAGTATTCTGTTGTATCTGTGTACCGCATCTCCTTTATCCAATCATCTATTGAAGGACACTTTGGTTGTCTTCACATCTTGGCCATTGTGAAAAATTCTGCAATGAACATAGGAGTAAATATATATTTACAAATAAATGTTTTAAAATTTTTCAGATAGACTCCCAGAAGAGGCATTGCTGGGTCATATGGTAGCTCAATTCTTAGTTTTTTGAGGAACCTCCAAACTGTTTTCCATAGTAGCTGTACCAGTTTACATTCCCACCAGCAGTGAATAAGGCTTCTTTTTTCTCCACAACCTCTCCAACACTTTTTACTGTTTGTCTTGTTGATCATAGCCACTGTAACAGGTATGAGGTGGCATCTCATTGTAGTTCTGATTTGAATTTCCCTAATAGCTAATGAAGTCGAGCCTCTTGTCATATACCTGTTGGCCATGCCTTCTTGAGAGAATTGTCTGCTCTGGCTCTCTGCCTTTTGATTAGATTGTTTGGTCTTTATCATTGTGGAGTTATGTGAGTTCTTTATACATTTTGGATATTAACCCCTTATTAGAGGTATTGTTTGCAAATATCCTCTCCCATTCAGTTGTTTGCCTTTTTGTTTTGATGATGTTTCTTTTGCTGTACAGAAGCTTTTTAGTTTGATGTAGTCCAATCCATTTGTTTTTGCTTGCTTTATCTTCCCCTGCCTTTGAGGTCAAATCCATAAAACCTTCTCTAAGACCAAGGTCTGTAAGTTTTCTTCTGTGTATTTTATTGTGTCGGTCTTTGATCCATTTTGAGTTGAGTTAATTTTTATGGATGGTGACAGGTAGCAGCCTAGTTTTATTCTTTTGCATGTGGCTTTCCAATTTTCCAAGCACCATTTATTGAAGAGGTTTTCTTTAATCCATTCTAAGTTTTTGGATCCTTTGTCAAAAATTATTTGTGCACATGTATGTGGGTTTATTTATGGGCTCTCAGTTATGTTCTATTGGTCTGTGTGCCTGTTTCTCTGCCAATACCATGCTATTTTGATTACCATCACTTTGTTACATAATTTGAAGTCAAGGAGTGTGATATCTCCGGTTTTGTTCTTTTTTCTCAAGATTGTTTTGGCTATTCAGGGTCTTCTGTGGTTCCATACAAATCTGATGATTTTTTTGCTCTATTTCTTTAAAAAATGACATTGGGATTTTGATGGGGATTGCATTTAAAAGGCACAGAGTAGCTGACTGGAACAAAGGCAAAACCTAACCATGTGCTTCAGGAGACACATCTTGGCTACAAGGACAAATGACACTCAAAGTTGAAAGGGTGAAAAATGATACTCCAAGCAAATGACACCCAGAAAAAAGTGGGTATGGCCATTATTATACCCAAAAAAAATAGATTGCAAGATAAAAATGGTAACAGGAGAAAAAGATGGACATTTTATAATGATAAAGAGGACAATCTACCAAAGCTTTTCTTCAAGAAAAGGGTTTATTTAGCCAAATGCCAGTCAGAAAAGGACCAGGTCCTGGGGTGTGCAGTCTAATCCACCAGCAACAGGGATAGTAAAGGAGGCAAACATGTATGCCATCCCAGAGTTGACCCATTCTTTTGTACATATGTTTTGGGAAAGGAAGATGTTAGTTGTTTTGAAAGAATTAACATTGGTTATAGAAGGATGGCAGGAAAAGGTGAAGTAGAGTCAGTTCTAGGCTGGGTGCACAGTCCATAAGGAAGAAATGTTTACTATTTTTGATCAGTTATGGGCAACAGTCCTGAAAGTTCATGCATATACAGGATGTGGTGGCATCTTTTATTCACTTCAGAAGTTGATTCAAAGCTCCAGCATACGTTCAGGAATGTGAGCTGTCTATTAGTTGGCACACAGCTAATAACTGCTTAATTACACTCGTCTCTCTCACCCTCCACCCACTGTAATTTAATTTAGGACGTGGAATTTTTCTCTGTCATCAGTAATCCCCTAGGTGGGGGCATGTAATGTTAATACAGTCAGTCGATCAATTACATATAATGAGGGTTTGGTGGTATGAATTGTTCATGTGAGCTTTAAACATTTGTAAAAACAGATTAGAATTCTGTTTAGATGGACTTCCAGCCAAGATAGAGGCATAGGTACATACACTTTGCCTCCTCACACAACCAAAAGAAGGACAGCAACAAATTTAAAAACAAAAAATAGCCAGAACTGCCAGAAAATCAAACTGTATGGAAGTCTGAGAAGCAAGGAGCTAACAAAGAAACTCATCCAGACTGGTAGGAGGGGTGGAGATGAACAGCCAGGGCAGAAAGGGCACAAAGCAAGGCAGCAGCTGGAGGACCAGGCAGGCAAGGCAATGGCTGGTAGACCTGGTGGTCACACATTTGTGTGCAGATAAACCAGGAGGAACTGCTGGGGAACAAGACAGACCACGTAATCCAGGGTTCCAGTGTGGGAAAAGAAAGCCTCAAAACCACTGGAAATAAAAACCTGTGGGGGTTGCAGCAGCAGGAGAAACTCCCAGCCTCACAGGAGAGTCCATTGGAGAGACCTACAGGATTCTAGAATGTGCACAAACACACTCACCCAGGAATCAACACCAAAGGGACTAATTTGCTTGTGGGTAGTGGGGGAAGGAACTGAAAGCCAGCGGGAACTGAGCAAGCGACATTGTTCCCTCTCAGACCCCTCCCACACACACACAGCATCACAATGCACAATGATTTCCAAGACATGCGGAGACAAAGAAATGTGGCCCAAACGAAAGAACAGATCAAAGCTCCAAGAATAGAACTAAGCGATGAGCAGATAGCCAACCTATTAGATGCACAGTTCAAAACACTGGTAATCTGGATGCTCACTGAACTGGTTGAGTATGGTTGCAAAATGGAGGAAAAAGCGAAGGCTATGCAAAGTGAAATAAAGAAAAATATGCAGGGAACCAATAGTAAAGGGAAGGAACCCGGGACCCAAATCAATGATTGGGAGCAGAAGGAAGAGATAAGCATTCAACCAGAACAGTATGAAGAAACAAGAATTCAAAAACATCAGGAGAGGCTGAGGAACCTCTGGGGTAACTTTAAACATTCCAACATCTGAATCATAGGGGTGCCAGAAGGAGAAGAATAAGAGCAAAAAATTGAAACCTTATTTGAAAAACTAATGGAGAACTTCC